CAGATTCCAGGCAAAAAGTAGATTGATCAATCTATTTCCTATCCGTACATCCAGTACTCCTCAACAGCCTCACAGGTACTGCAGGTTTGAAGGGGGTCTGAAGCCTGACCAGTTCTCCAGCCTGACATGGCAATGCAGCAGCAGAACCAACCACCTTCTACACTTTACTCTCTAAACAGGGCTTGGAGGAAAGAGGGACAATGGTCACCCTCCTCACCTGTAATAACCAACATGGTACCAAGGGAGGTACTTGGAGATGCTTTCACATCAGGTCTTACAAGAACAATGAAATTTCCAGTCCTCATCCCATTTAGAGCCCCAGCAAGACAAAGGGATGGAAAACAGCAGCTGAAACCACAAACAAAACCTAGATTGTCTCAGGTCCATTTGCCTCATGAGTTTGCACCCACACAATGCTAAAACAAGGCCAGCACCGCTTGCCGTCTCTTGAACAGATGTAAAACCTGAGCAAATCGTTCATCAGTAATGAATTTCTGTTTAAAATGCCTCTAAATTGAAGAAAATGAGTATTTCTCTTTCCGGCAGAGAAGCGGCACCGTGCCTCAATCGGGGTTGCTACGCAACCGCCTCCTGCACATGGCTGATAACACTCCCGGCATTATTTCCTCGCCTGACTACTCCGTCAGAACAAAGCCCAGCTAATGAAGCTTTGAAATGCTTTTGGCTTTGCCTTTGACGGCTCAACACGGGTTTTCCTTGCATGTATGTGACAGTTACAGCAGGGACTCACTGTCCCTCCCAGCCAGGCACTCTCCGGAGCTGGATGGAGGAGATGCCCAATGGAGAGTGATGGGCAGCAGGGGAAAAGAGCAGCCAAACACCCAACAGACATAACCAGCGTCCAAAATGGAGGGCAGCCACACCTGCCACGGCACGAGGTGGCAATGATGAATCCCTCTGAAACACTGAGCCGTCAGCATTACAGATCAAGCCAGACATTCTCCAGTTTCAATTTATCCCTCTGCCCTAAGGCCCTTATCACACTGAGGCTGCTGCTCATGGGTTTGGCTATAGTGAGGATAAACCTCCCCTAGCATATGCAACACCTTTTTTTACCAATATGTTGGAATAAATTTGACTGTGATTTTCTTACACAGTGTGTGTAAGCAAAACCCTCCTTCTGCTAGATGAGTTGGTGTAGCAAGAACCATTGCTGGCAAGGAGAACTAGCTTCCACCACAGACATCTTCATCCTCCTGAAGGAGCAGCCAGCTGAGGCTGAAGCAGTCCCATTTTGTAGTGCCACATCCATACAACTTTTGAACGCTTCCAGGGATGACGATTCCACCACTTCCCTGGGCAGCCCATTCCAATGCCTGACCATCCTTTCAGCGAAGAATTTTTTCCTAATCTCTAATTTAAAATTCCCCTAGCACAACTTGAGGCTATTTCCTCTCGTTTTGTCACCTGTTACCCGGGAGAAGAGCCCGATCCCCATCTGGCTCCACCCTCCTGTCCAGGAATTGTAGAGAGTGAGATAGTCCCCCCTGAGCCTCCTTTTCTCCAAGCTGAGCCCTACAGCAACCCCAGCCACTCCTCTTCAGACTTATGCTCCAGACCCTTTCCTAGCTGTAGCAGATCTACCCTTTACCAGTTCATTTCACAGAAGGGCTGAACACAGTGAAACAGGGAGCATTTCCTTGGCCCTCTGATATCTCATCTACTTAATGGGATCACCCTAAATACATGTGTGGATGTGACACAATCTCGGTGTGACCAGGCAGAAAGGATAGGCTGACTACACAGGCACTGTGAGCTTGCCAGAGTGCACAGACAAAATAACAAGCAACAATAAACAAAATGACAAGCAACCCACACAGGTACAGAAGCTCCAACAGGAATGAACTCCTGTAGCTGAATGTTTTCTAGACAGCACGTGGCTCCAATTACCTGGAAGAAGAGCTGGGGACAAGTTTTTCTCACACCAGCAGGGTGGAAGGATTGGCTGGGGCTAAAAGCACAGATGCCCTTGGACAGCAAGACGGTATCTGGGCAGTCAGAGCAGGCAACAGACAACCTGAGGGATTAATCTTGCTCTCAAAGACATACATTCTGCAAACAACTCAGTAAGAGTCACAAGGAAGGGCACCACCCAGAGAATCCAACCCAGCCCTGATCGAGGTGTAGATTATAGCAAATCAACCCACCTGGCTGCTCGCCTGCCAGGACTCTGCCTCGCTGGGCTGAGCTGAAGAAAGCCCAGCATGGGCGCTTTTTGCTGGAGACAAAATTATCTAACAAGAGACAATTATGTGACATTACCATTAAAAGCAGTGTGTGACAAAAAAAGCTTTAAGCCTCTGTATCCTGAGATCTGCAAACCCCTTTCTCCACCTTTGTGCTAAAAGGGCCTCATTTAGTCCATTTGCTCTGTCCCAGTCAGGCAAAGCGAAAGTAAGGTTGATCGATTTGTTAATTACAGTAATTTTATCTTAAATAGAGACAGCTGAGTGTTCATCAAGTCACAACTTCGCCTATTACAGAGAGACCTACCTCCTGCTCAGTAATTAGGGATAATAAGTGGCTCATAAATGCAACCCACAACAACATGCTCTGAGAGCATGGCTCAGAATCAGGAGGGCTATTAGGGAACCCCAAGGTCTATTTCTCCTTTTGAAGAAAACAATGTAAAAATCTTTAATTGTCTCTCTTGAAACCCTGAGACAGTTTTGCCATTTTGTTATAAATAAAAGGCAATTATTCCACTTTGTGATTGCTCTTGTGCCCAGAGAAGGCTTAACTAGAGTCACCAGTGCAAATGAGAGTGACTTTCTCTTCCTGCATTGACTGGGCACATACAAAAAGCTGAGGTAGGAAGTAAGACCAGTGAGTTATGTATAATCACACTCCTCAGACTTTTAAGACTCTAAGTAAGGCTCAAAAGATTCAGTTTGAACACAAGTCACAAGCAGTCCATGCTCAGCTTGAATCATCCATCCACACACATGGCCTAACTTGAAATGTGTTCGTTACCGAAGGCTCACCTCACCCTCCTGTCACAGAAAGGGCAGGCTGGCAAAAGCTGAGGGCAAAGGAAACCAGCTTTGGTCGTCATCCTGCACAGAATGGGGAATCTCTGAGGCAAGTTTCTACTGCAGCCTGCCAAGAGCAAGGTTTGAGGTGAGCAAGGAGAGAACATCAGAGCTCACGTGCATCTGTATGTCTTCCAAATCCTGCAAAACAACAAACAAAATGACAAGCAACCCACACAGGTACACCCACATCCTCCATTTCTGTTTGGCTTCTTGCTTTTTTCCACCTTTATCCCCTAGGTAATTACTCCTGCAACTTCACCAGCCAGAAAAGTACAGACAGCCAAGAGGGTCAGAGAGATGAAAACCACACCACTTCAAGGACTACAGAGAAAAGGAATTCCTTCCTCCACCCACATTCTTTGGGGCCAATCCTTGGACAGAACTAGATAACAGAGCACAGTGTGGAAGGAAAGGCTTCAACACCTTGAGCTCAGTTGATCCTGCCAGGTCCAGGTGCTGGGGAAAAGGACCTTGGTAGGTGAGGTCGCCTACCTTCCCCAGGACAGTGAAGAATGGGGAGGGACAACCAAGGGTGTTTGTCACCACCAGCAATGAAAAAAAAACATAAAACTTGAGATCGGGTGTAGTAGAGGAGGCTGGGGGTGACTATGGGGGCTGATCCTGCTCTGGCCGTTTCCCAGATGGTAAGTCAGTGCAGCTGCACATTTTCTTTTCCAGTAACTTAAAATACTGAACTGCGGCCTCTATTTTCCCCTGAAGCTGAAGACATATATGCAGCCCCCATGTGCAGTCAAGACCAAACAGCATTTGGAGAGAACTTTAAAGTTTCATTCTCTTAGCATGCAAAACAACAGATGTCATTTATCTCATTTTCAGCACTGGGGAGTGCACAAGGATAAAGAAATAGATTTAATCAAATGCAGTTGTATTTCATTTACAACAATACTTGCTGCCACTTACTTTGCTCCAGGAAGTGCATTTAGTTGTTTTCCTGTGGCATTTCCCTGCAGGAGCTGAAGCTTCACTTGTTCCTGTGAAGATCCTGTATTTCTGCAAATACCTTTTCCTGATGCAAATTACCCTTTTTTTTTAATTAACGCGTGGTATTTCAGTTCCACTTAATCCACAACTATGTTTAACCAGCATTTGCAAGACTGTTTTATATTCTGTCCTGTTATCTCAGCACAGCATAAAGTTGCATTCAAGTTGCCTGCAGAATAAATACTGGGCTTTTATTGTGAGCAAGGGAGAGCTGTGTAATGATCAATCACAAAAGCCCTTGGGGATGGGAGAGATCAGCACTTTGATAGTGCTGAAGATGAATGGGTGAAATGAGTTTGATAAGCTGGTCTTTTCCTCAGATAATTGCTCTGGAAGCTTTCTAAAGCCACTTGGATCCTCTTTCCCTTTTGTTTCTGGGTAGGATAGCAATTCCTGTTTTTCCAGCAGCACTACTGGACGGGCTGCTGCTGTTACTGTTTTTAAACGAATCACAGTGGATTTATGCCACATTTTATCACTGACTATTGAACACTAAAGTATTAGTCACGATTTAACAAAATATTCAGACTGGATTCCTATTATTCCTCGCCAATTTGGCTAGTCCAGCACCCATGTCACTGAGCACAGCTCAGCTGAGAAAGACTGAGGGAGTGGGAAAGGGACTTCTCATCCTTCCTCAAGCTTAAATCTTTAACAGCAGCTCAGAAGTCATTAATCCTTGGTGCTCACCTTCAGCTCCCATCAACCTTTCTCTGGACTTTTTATACCCATCACCATCCTCCTTTTTCTCCTCCTGGATCATTCTTTTGCAGCAATCCCACAGGATCATCCAAAGAGGAACTTCTCCTGAAGCTTTAACACAAAATTCTTGCCCAGATCACTTAGACCCCAGGTACATCCCTCTTCAGGCCCAAGGCAAATAATGCTAGCATTCATAGACATACTAACTTATTCTCAGCCACTAATGAAAATGGAGCCAAGAGATTTCACTGTATTTTTATTGTTTCACTGAATAAAATGGAATTTAAATACAGAATTAAAAATTTGTAAAAAACGTTATTAAAAGCCAGCATTCAAAAGTGGGTTGCACATCAGTGACCAAAAAATTTGCATTTGCTTTTTGATACAAAGACAGGTCAGAAAAATAAAAAAAGCACATCCATCATCTGAAAAGACCTGATTTTTTTTTTTTTTACATTTCCTTTCATGTTTGAGACCTGATATTTGTCTCTTAAGAATCTCCCACGAACCTTGGTTTTCACAGCACTGATTCACATTGTTTGGTTTTCAAAAAACCCCAATCATTTGTAGTTTACAGTAGCAGTGATGTAGTGACCCCTCAATACATACTGACAGTATGTTTAATAAACCAGCATATGAGGGGTGGAAAAAAAATGCAGCATTATGTGATTTGCAGGGGTGCAATTTAGCCTGCAAAACATCTCTGTGCTCACACCCATGCCTTTATGAGTTGGGTATTTCTCGGGTTATCACATTTCTGGCATTCGCTCTTTGCCAACTCCATCACTGCAACAAAGAATTCTACAAGTGATGAGTGAATAGGTACCATTGATTTTTAATGCCCCATTTTAAAGCAGCTTGATCTTTCAAGGCACAAATTCCTCATCCTCAAGGAAAACAATCAGGCTCTTTTAGGCACAATTTAAACCCTAGAAAAGAGGCACCTCCCTCAAGAATTCTTGACGTCGGGGATCTCGGTCAGGGTTGGGAGGTGGGTTTTTTGCAAGTTTATATTATCGTTTCTTAAGAAGACAACTATGAAGATGGTCCAACCAGTCAATGCATCTGCATCATCTCAACCAAAAAATACTAGAAAGACTCTCTAATATATGCATAATTTTAAGATATCACCGCCACTCACATACTGTTCATAACAGGCTGGAAAGAATATGGAGTATGGCTCACCTGTTCTTCTAGGATCTTAACCACCACAAGAATTTAACCACACAGACAGAGAGTGAAGTGCCCTTACAACAGAAACTAGGAGTTTGAGATAAAGAGTAAGGAAAGCTACACATCAGCCTCGGGGGAAAAAAAGGAGAGGGGGGAAAATTCAGATTGCAATGGAAAGCAATTCATTTAACAAGAAAAATAATACTGGAGATTGTCACTAGTGCACCTAGAATTTGGCAAATGAAATACTTTGAGCATACACTTGCAGGGCAGCCCTGCCTCTGCCACAGGAATAAATATCCAACAGTGTTTAATAACGGTACATAAAAAGAGACATCCGGATTTCTGGATACAATGCATGTTCCATCCTCTGTAACTGCACAGTGGGTTCCCTCACATAAGGTATTTCAGTAACATCACAAAGGAATACAATTCTTCTGCGCTCCTCCTCCAGGAGTAGAGTCCTCTTTAGTTGGGGTTGGATGATGAGGATGCAGCAGCAATGTGAGGTGCAAGTGTTTTGCTCTACCCTCATTCTCCACCCACAGCGACCACATTGTGCTGTGAGGGACGGAAATGTGCAGCTGGAGCAATGAAGGCTCAGTTCAGTACCCACTGTGTGAGACCAGGCACAGGCATAGATAGACCTCTCAGTTCAGCCACTTCACATCTCAGGGGAGGCTTGGTTTGTTTTGGACAGACATGTTCACACAGAATCCTCCACAAAGATGTTCAGTTTATGTGGCCAGGTCAGATTACTATCCTCAAATTAACTTCAGAATATTTCCTGTTTTCTGTCGACATATAGGTTGTCCAGCAAAATAAATGCATGTTTTACCCTCATCAATGGCAGCCTGTAGATTCGGTTTTGCATTACCAGCAGAGCTGTATGGGACACACATCTCTCTTGTCACACTGCACATCTGAAAGGTTGCTGTCCATTTTTTGCAAGGAAAGTTATGTTCTTGTGTTGCGTATGTATTTATCTGCAGTCATTAAATACAGGATGTTGGTATCACATTCCACCTGGCCTTTTTGCAAACACCCTTCTTCATTCTTCAAAGAACATAACAGTGTCTCTTAGTGAAACCTATGGTCTCAACTTCTGGTGATGTGCACCAGGCAATCATGGACCTTACCAAGGGGATATCCTTAATACCACTGCAGCAATTTGACTGTCTCTCCTCCAAATGGTGCATACGACCAAAAAAAATACATAGGAACTGCTGCTTGTTTCCAACACCTCTGTTAGCAGGTAGGCTCACGTACTCTCACTGCCAGCTGCCATGGAAGCAGTAAATAAAGTTGTTTTTACCTCCAAAGTCACAAGCACTGTCCAGTCTGTGACTACACCAGAAATGTCTCTATTTCCATAACTTCCAAAAACTTCAACCAAATGCTTTGTTTTTCTCATCTTTTCCTTAGAACATCCGAGGATAAGATGGGTTTTGCTTAATTATCCACTCAGCATGGGGGTTGATGTGGTACAAGTCCAAGAGGTAAGTGTCTGGGTCCAGGCAATGTTCACCTATTAAAACAAAAAATTCAGGAAAAAACCCCACTTTTTTTTATATCCTTAGTTCTGTAGTTGTTAGGTTTTGGGTTTTGTTTGGTTTTCCCTCACCTAAAAATCAGTACTTGTTAACATTAATTTCAATATTACGCCATTCAGAAGTGTTTTCACAAATCCGGGGTAATGCTTCAAAATGAAAGAGGGTAGATGTACATTAGATATTAAGAAGAAATTCTTCACTCTGAGGGTGGTGAAGCACCAGCACAGCTTGCCCGGAGAAGTTTAACTCCTTTCTGAAACAAGTTAAGCGTAAAAATTGGGTAACAGAGTCCTTATTTTCAGTTGCCTTTTGTACTTACCAATATTACCTCCCACTTCATACAGAAATAAGTTTGTGCACTCTGTTGAGTTGTTACTGCAGAAAGAAAAACACACTGAAGTTAAATCTTTGCAAAGACAGGTTAGGTTGCTCAGTACTGTTTATTGCAAAAGAATTGTTTGTGGTTCTGAGGCCAGCAATGGTCAAGGAAGCTACAGGCCATGGTACAGAGACCTTGCTGATCCTCCTGAACAGGTGTTGAGAAGGACATCCAAAACTGGAAAAAACCCCCACCAAGGCAGTTATTCCTCACTGGCAGCAAGCAGCACACTGTATGCAAACACTAACTTTTCAGTTGGAAAACAATAGGCATAAATATCAAAGTTCACTGTCAGCATTCCTCAAAAACTGATGGACTACTCCAGAGAAGCTCACTTGCAGGAAGACTTTGGCAGCTGTGAGATACCAGCTGACTCGTAATCAGCCAACTTCCCCTCCATCCTCCTTGTCTAGACACCTTGTGTGACACAGTCAGGAGATGCACTGCTGCATTACCTACTAAATACAGTCTGCAGGAATGGTGACAGAGTGGGGCAGGAACTCTTCTGTTCATTTTTTGGGTTACTTCAGCAATTTACCACTGGAGCATAGGAGGGAATTGCGGAGTTCATTTTAGGAAATCCCTACATTGACATATTCATGTTGAGATTACTACTCCAGGCAGGTAATTTGCACAGGTGATGTTTTTTCCAGGTGAGTTAGAGAGGATTCGCTTTGCAGGATCAATGTTATTCCAATTTTCCTTCCTTTCTCCACCTACTTTTCCAGTAAGGTTGCTGGAGTTCACTTGCTGTCCAGCAGCCCAGAGGGGATGGGACCACTGACCTCTTGACAGCCTAAGCACAAAATGGAATCACTCAGCTGAACTAACACTTGACTTCCCCATCCAACACACTATTTCCACTGCTGAGAATAGAGAAGCAGAGAACAGTCTCCTCATGATTCACTGTGTTGCCACATCACCTCAGCCACAAGATCAAAACCAGCAACCACTTAGTTGGGGTTTTTTTGTTTGTTTGCGGGGTTGGTTTGTTTGTTTGTGGGGTTTTTTTTTGTGTGGTTTTTTTTGTTTGGTTGGTTGTTTGGTTGTTTTTTTAAAGCAGAGAAAAAGCAATTTACCACTTGAGGAGGTTGACAGTGTTAACAATATTCCAGCCATTCTGGCACAGGTTCTTTTGGAACTGCCTGAGGACATCTGCAACCCTGATTGCATTGTTCAAATGCACCTCCAGTGAGTCCTTCAGGAGGAGAGATGCGTGGACTTTCACAATCTTCGAAGGCTGAACAAAAAAAAAAAAAAAACAACAAAAAAAAAAGTGCTTAAAGACTTCATTATCAGTCAAAACCCCAAGTTTCAAAATAGATTGGAGAGTGTGAAGAATTACACCTATCCAGCCAGCTGCTCATAGACTTTAGCCTTGTTTCTTATTCCACACATTCTACAGGTTAAAAACTTAAAGCAGCATCAAGGTGAGCATTATAAATAAATCACTAGCATTTCGGTGCTGTGTCCGGGAAAGGAGACCTGTGCTCTCCATCAGCGAGCGGTGGTGCTCTCTGCTGTTCAAACCCAGCACTACCACCAGAAAGCGACACAAGCTTGGATGAAAATAGGATTTGTCGCAAGAAATTTTAACAAACTGGTTTGCACGAGTCTGAATGACTTCTCTGAAATTCATTTAAATTACTGTAAAAGGAGTTTAGACAGCTGGATTGCAGACTACTGAATTTCAGAAAGGTAGTTTCCAAAGAAAGGAAGCACTGAGCCATCACAGAGCTGAGTCCAAGTGGTTTTTTTTTTCCCAATACTGTTTTAATCAGCTACTCCATGAAGTAACTTCTCAGAACTTTTGCCAAGAACACTGAATTATTCTCGCAGGATTTAACCTGCTGTAAGTTAATTTTGCAATCCCAAAACCTCTGCAAAAACAGTGCACAAGATTGAGTCCATTAGAACGGTGTTAACCACTTCCTAAGCATGGGGTCGTCTGTTTGATTGCCTAAACAGTAGCTGCCCTATCCAAAATGACAGCACCTTCAACAGTGACATGTCATCTTAACAGCCGTATTTTAGGCAGACATCATCTCAGTATTCCAGCCATAGAAAGGTGGGGAATGTGTTGGCTTGTGAGAACATAGACTCTTCTTCAGGAATGCAGATTTAAACTTTCAATTATTATTTCTACCTGCAGACTCCAACTAAGCTTGTGTCCTTAGAGCATCCTGGTTGCACCACCACTATGTGATATTTCAAATCCAGCCCTGCATGATATAACCCAGCCCCTACAGACCTGCACATATTCAACTAAGATGGCTACCAAAAAAACCCAGGCAGAATGGCTCCAAGGATCTTTTCCCAACTTTGATACTGAAACAGATCAGGTAGAAACATCTGTTTAAACAACCTCAGTCTGCACCAATACGAGAGTGCGCAGAGCCATCTGGGAACTTCCCATCTGGGAACGTTCATCAGGGAACTTTTCTCCCTTTAAGCAGCAAGAACCTCCTCCTCAAACCCTTCCATACAGATCAACAGCATTATGGAGCAAAAAGAAAATTAGATACAATACTGCTATAATAACCTAAATTTTTGGTTTAAGTTCCTGAAAATAAGTCTGCCTTTATCACAGCAGATGTATCTGTGCCAACAACTAGGGCACCCAGAGCCACGTGAATTCTGCTTTTCACGTGCGGCAAAGACCAGCATTTCTGCTCCTGGTCTCTTCCCTCTTCATCTGTTTTTCACCAAGTGTTTTGTAGCCTGAAACGTATTTAGTGTTCTTGTTGTTGGAATCCGTTTTTGCCACAATCTGGCCGAGAGAGTCTGGGAAACTGTTCCTCACTATTCTGCAACTTTTTTCTCTCTCTTGCTCTTCAAAGAACATCCCTCTTCACAGCTTTCTGAGTTCTCATGAAAGCATTTGACACTGCCATGAAATGGCTTGTTTTTTCCAAGCCCCAACTCACCTCTGCCTGGTTCTTTTCCAACTTATCTTTATCAGCGTGAATCTTGCGCAACAAATTTTTAATTCGCTTGTCACAGAACTGGTACCTTTTGCTGTTGCTCTCGTTCAGCTTTCTCACTTGAGCTACCAGAAAAGAGGAGACCTGGGCAAGGGAGAAGGGAGAAAACAGGAATTAAATCAAGCAGAGATGAGGATGTCATTTAAGAAACCAGTCATCACTTTATGAAGCTCCTGAAATAGACAAAATATCTGTGTACCTTGAAGACAAGGTAGTCTTGGAACTCAGTCAGAGGATTTGCCTACAGATGTTTAACTCCTCTGAAATTTCCAAGACTATTCCCTCCCCTCTTCTAACTCTAACCAGATCAAGACACTGCTGCACCATACTGCCAAACACGTGTGCAACTTACCGTCCAGAGCAGATCCTGGTAATGTATCATCATCCGTACCACATCAGCCGCTCCCTCTGCCAGCTGCTTCTCCTTCCCTTCAGGGATCTTGTTCGGCAGCCCCTTGTGCATAAAGAGGTTTGGGGCCATGACTGTGGAAACATTCCAGAGGTTCATTTTGTTGTTGTTCTCCCTGGCAACCACTTTGCTGAGAAACTCAAGTAGAGCCTGAAGAGAGGGAAAGAGACTTAAGACTGTGGCAATTGCTGGAGAGATCACTTAATTAGCTTTTTCTTCTTGTTATCCATGAGCAAATTCTTTTTCCCCAGTCATGAAGTTCAGTGACCAGTTTCTAATACTAAAATGGCAACAAGCAACTATACTAAGCATACTAGTTTGTCCAGCACTTAGAGATCAGGAGAGACAGTCAGTGTGGGAAGCAGATGGGTTCTTACTCCTTGGCAGGTAGCAATTTACAAAGTCGAGTCGTAAAATTTGCAGAATCTAAAGATAAACCTCTCCTTCTCTTAGTATCCCTTCAAAGCCATTCCCAGATGTGGAAAAATAAACCCTTTTGGATTATTTCTTTCACCTCACGCCTCACCAGAGCCATGACAGATCATCTTTGGCTCGATTATGTATTCCAGAACCCTAAAGTTTTCAGGGTGCTAAGTCAGCCTTGCCTTTAGTACCTAGAAGCTGAACTATGCAAGAGAAAAAAAAAAAGCAGTAGCAACCACCATAGCTCTTATAAAGCACAGAAAGCCAGAGGTGGTGGTTATTTAAAAGTCATGCAGATGTGGCACTTGGAGGTATGGTTTAGTGATGGCCTTGGCACTGCTGGGTTAATGGTTGGACTCAATGATTTTAAGGGTTTTTTCCAATCTAAATGATTCTATGTTTTTTCCAGTTAAAACCAGAACAAGCACTTTTACCTTTAGAGTGTTTCTGTTGGGCTCTGGCAGAATCAGGATCAGGAGGTTCAGCGCTTGCAACCTCTGCTTCAGGTCTGGAATATCTAGATAGGGAGAGCAACAACAGGACAGAGGATTCAGGCTTCTGACACTGTTCTTCTTGAGCAGGGAATCCCCCAAAGAATAAGGCAATTACTTATTGCAGCGTTTGTTGTCTAGGATTTGAAAACTTGCTTTATAGAAGTAAATCAAGCTCATACTGTCCTTATGAAGGGAATTACCCATGTTTTAGAAGACTGGCTCGTTTCCTTCAGAGTACACAGTCTACCAGCAACTCTGATTCCCGTGAAGGGCACCAAATGACCCCATTATTCCCCGTTTCTTGAACAAAGAAGTTGTGCACTGAAAAAGTTAGCTTAACCCATCCAAACCACTCACTGAGGCACAAACCTCAAACCGAGGTGCTTGCAGAACATTGCGTTACCTGCAGTCAAGCCAAGATTGTACACCCTGGCCAGTGGCCACAGCTGAGTTTTCATGTCCTAATTTTTTCAATGACCTAATACAGCATGGCAGCAATGCTGTAGCCTCAAATGACACAACATAATGTAGACTTCAGGATAGTGTACAAAGACATACTCAAGCAAGCACCAGCAACTATGACTCTCAGTCATGCACTGTATTCCCATTGGATCCGCAGGCTCCCAACACACCTGACAAGAGAGTTCAAGGCCACAGGAGCTTTGCAAGAAGAGCACAAACCAAAAAACTGCTGCCAAGCAGGCAGAGCAGGGACTCACTTTGCACAGCAGCAAAAGCAGGGAGGTACTCTGCTGTTAGCAGCGGGGCTGGCAGCTCCCGTATGAACCTCTTCAGCAGCCCAGACACATCATTCTGATGCACTTCATCCCAGCGGAAAAGGCCAGTGTAGAACTCCCTTTCTAGCTTCTGTTCCAGACTCTATTAAAAAGATGGCATTTATTACAAGCAGGTATAAGGGAAAATTCTGTAGCTGAGCACTAGGAGGGCAATCTGTCAAGTCAAAACAGTGCATGGGCCCTCACAGTATGCACTCCCAGATTTCCCAGGGTATTTCTAGTTGTAATTGGAAGGGAGATGAGACAGGTTATTAATAAATATTAATATTTATTATTTTGGGTTATTTAGATACAGCAAATGCTCCCTGATCACCTCTGACATTTTTAAACACTGCTAAAGAGCTCATACCTTGATCCTGGTCTGAGACCCAGAAACTCTCAGAATGCCCTCTGTTTCAAGTCCTCTCTTCTCCAAGCAGGACAACAGCTATTAAAAACGGGGGAAATGAGAAAGCTATTAGGCACAGATGATGAGGAGTCAGCCCTTCCTTTTCACAGGATGACTCTGGGGATCAGAGGTGTGATTGAAAGCAGAAGAGAACTTACTGCCTGGAGTAGCAGAGGAACCTTGGTGTTGGGGAGCAGCTTTTGGTCATTTTCCAACAAAGTGTTGAGTGGAACTCCGAAAAGCCTTTTCTCTACAACAGAAACAACAGTTCGTAAGTCTGTATCACCTCTAATACAGGGCTAAGGGGTATATCATCCCCCACTGCAGACTAAGATGGCACTTTTGCAAGCATAGATACTGGAAAAAGAGAGGAACTGTTAAACAAGACAAATGCATTTAATAGCCAGATATAAATGTGGTACTAGGTCTTGATGTCATGATCCAGTGACTTCCAGGACCAAGGAAAATACACCTGTCACAAGGTTGCTTATCAAAGACTCTCTCTGTCCTAACATTTGGGACATAAATCTATGAGAAGATGAGTGTAAAAAAAAAAGGCACCAAAAAAGAAAAAAACGTAACAAAACACCCCAACTAACCTGTTGTTTTCAGTTTTGCTGCTTTGTTTCTCTTCAGCTCAAAGCCCAGGATATCACAGAGAGCTGTCAGTTCAATGAGGGCCAGTGTGGGGATCTTCTTCATGTCCTGAGCAGACAGATCTCCAATCCTGGTCACTCCTAGTCTGCCCTTGAGGATCTTAAATTTCTAAAGGAAACCACACACACCCAAAAGCTTCAGTTCAAGTTGTCACTTTTTCCACTAGTAAACAACTTTTGCTGTATTCTTACGACTCTTTATCATAACCAGCCACCTGTTCATTCTGCTGTGTTCAAGACCAGACACATGCCCAAAACTGCTCCTACTCAACCACTAGTCGAATAAATATCTTCCCTTTTCAGTATTGCTCTTCGATTATATTGGACATTCCAATTTATCTAAGTTAAAGCCTGATACCCGCCCTGATCTACTTGGATTTTGGAAGCAGTCCAGTTCATCTGCAAAGAAAACTGTTAGGATGATGAATAAGTAAGTCCAGTTACTCTCCCCTTGTCAGAGGAAACAACACAGACCTGTGTCACAATAGATAGTTTCAGATATAAGTCTTACTTCTTTTGACCCTCCACTATACAGTGTCTATCCTTGCCCAACACTGCAAGGATAAAAGCACTATGTACCCAAAAATACCTAATACAGACCCATTGCAACGCTATCCACCGAGGATGTTTCCAAGAGCTGATCATACAACCGAACTGAGTGTCTTGACAAGAACAGATTAATAAATTCTAACAGGAGAAATTCCTTCAGTGCTTACAGTTAGAGCATTTCCATCCTTTAACTTCCTAGATTCAGACAGGAAGGATCCCTTGAGGAGGACAGCTGCTTGCTCTGAGTAGGCAACATCCATGTTGAACGTCTCCTCTTTTCCAGGGTTTTGAACTGTGCGGGAGTAACCCTGGGTTTCTGATACAGAGGAGAAATTGTCTCAAATTTCTGAAAGCCAGGAGGGTGAAGCTTAGAAAACAAGAGTACTAAAAAAGATTTGGTATCATTGTTTTTACAAAATCCTATATTAACATACAAACACAGAGTTCTAATAGCACAGCCCTGACACTGATCAATAGATGAGAATAGTTTGAAGTCATAACATTACAGCTACAATCATCAGACCACTGGTAAGACAAGTATGGTCTTACATTACAGGACACACCTATGGCTAACTTCTCCTTGCACAATTGCATACAGTATTTATAGGATTTCACCACATGATCTTTACTAGACTGATTCTATTTTCATTTTTCAGTTGCTTTCTTGCAGAGTTACCGTTATCAACTTGAGCAGCAAACTATATAAACTATATATAAACTATAACAACAACTATACAAGTGTATCTATCTATCTATCTATCTTTCCTTCCAGTTTCAGCCCTACTTCAGATCCTACTCCTCATTCAGTCCAACTCTACATTTAAAAACTCTCCTTACTTCTCTGTGCATTTGTAGTCTGTAGATTCTGCCACAACAGATCTGGGTTGGACTCCTCTTTCTCTGCTGCTGTCTCCTGAAAAATAAGAAAAATGTTGTTTTCACTAGAATGAAAAGAGGAGCAGAACTGCAGGAAAACAGCTGAAAAGCCAATTGTTATGTATTCTCTGGCAAAAAACCCACAAAAACAGGCATCAAACAAAAAACCCCAAAACCCTCCAAAAAAGGCAGCTCTACTCTTCCTCCAGGATTTTTCAGCTGCACAAGGTCAGCTTATCAGAACTGAACTTAAGAAGTTCTTTTGTTTTGGTTAATAATGATGATTCAACATGTCACTGGAATAAAGAAGACACAAGAGGGCTCCAAATGATGCCAGTGCTCCATGAGGCTGTCATGCTGTAGACACCACATAGAGGCAGGATACAGAATTGTTCCAGCAGCCTCTAGGAAGTTTATGAATCTTCAGGTTTTGTAATAACTTATCAGCACTGCAACCAGGATGTAGAATTTCTCCAATCTCAGCTCCATTTCAGCTCAGGGGATGAAATCATCTCTTTGGACATGACAGCAGCCCTAGACCCAGAAAGGCAAGTCAGCCACCAGAAGGCAACAAGGTCTTTCAAGAGATCCCACTAAATCAACAAACCTCCGAGCTGGCCACTCCGAAAATGTCCCGGACATCACGCACAGAGTGCTTGCTCTTTCTCCGGCGGGAGCGGGAGTAGGTGTCCAGCCGGCGCTGCACAGCGGCCGCTTGGGTCTGGGTCAGGGTGGAGAGCAGCACGAGGTTGTCACTGTCCGAGCCACGGTCTCCGAGGAGCTCGGACAGACCCGCGTCCTGGAGCCACTCAGCTTCAGCTTCTCCCTCTGCCAGGCAAGGGATGAGAAGGCAAAGTGAGCAGATAAAAGAAATTTGGGTGTTTGCAATGCTTCAGAGGCAGAAAACCTGAAGTTTGAGCCATCCCCTTCCTGAGGTGGCAATGGGACATCAGTGGAAGTTTAGGTTAGGTTCCTAACACGTCCTGGTTAGGAAGCCACAGCTGTTCTCAAATTCTTAGCCCTATTCCCTGGTACCCAGCTGCCTGTGCAAAGGGGAGCTCTGACAGCTGGCAATGGAACACAGCCCCCCCAGAGGTAACGGCAGTGTCTCCCTGAAGCACACGTGATCCTTTGACAGCTTTGAGAATGGACAAAAGGTCTGTGAGAAGCCACAACACTGCATATTCGGCTTTTGTACTTTTCCAAATTACTTGGCTATTTATTTTAATTTTTATTTATCTATGCGTATGCCTGTATATCAGCTTCTTTTTTCTTTTAATATCCGGACCCTGATTTGGTAGATTCAAATGTATTTTATTTAATATACTCGCAGAACTATTTGTTTGCACCATCCTTACTCTTTACCTTTTTAAGTGAATTGGTATCCATACACTCAACAAAAGCAAAAACGTTATTCTTGCTCTGTGTATTCCCTTTATGTCTGGGCCTATTCAAAACATCACTAAAATTAAAGACCATTTCAGATTCACAAGGAAGTGTGAGAAGCCTGGAGACAGTACAGCAGCATCACTCAAAAATCTCAAGTTCACTTCATTCCTTAATAAAGTTGCACTTCAAACACAGAAGACAATTTTTTTCTTATGAGTTGCACTCATAAGGAAGTGAGAAAGTGCCCTGAGCAAGGCAGCTACTTGAAATCCAAAGATAAAAGAAACAATTTAGCGGGCAGTTTCAACTTTTAACACAGCAAACACCACAAAGCCTTTTATCTTTTCTGTTCTACGCACCACATGGATTCACTGCAGGCAGCTCCAGTACAGCTCTACCAAAGGTTATATTGGGAAAAGAAAAATCAAAACTGAACTGACACAGAACAGTCCATTCCCAGTCTTTCTGTCCTATGCAAACTTCTATCTCTTCAGCTATCACAGCTGCTCAGGCCAAGTTTTATTATTCCTGCATCAGTAATAAAGCAGCCAAGCAGCTTTTCCTGAGAGATTAAATAACATCATTTTTCTGGAGAAACCTCTGTGTTCATGCAGCTTGCAAACATATGTTGTGACAATTAAAACTCTTCTCAGCCTTCAGAGCATACTATTTGTGGTTTTAGGTGCTGTAACGAAACAGAACATTTCTCTTCATCACACCACAACAGAGCTGGATTTGAAGTCAAATAATTCCCTTAATGAATCTACTGGCAAACTATCTGGTTTTCCTACATGGTCTTGAGTTTTGGTCTTTTCCCGTGCCTGGTTCTACAGTATCTAACAGTTAAGAGCATCCCCCCAGTAGTGCTCATTTGGGCACAGCCACTCGTGGTCCCACTCACAACTCCTCACTGTACATTTGTCCTACATCCATGGTTTCACAGCAGAACAACACACAAAAAGCCTCTGGTTTATTTTGCCTTTGGGAACCAGAGGAAGTGAAATGTATTGCTTGCAAATTTTGAAAATAGCCATTTCAGTCATAACAGGAAACAAATCTAGTACACAACACTAAACAGCAGCCCCTAAATCGAACATCCATGTGAGCCTACTGCCCCTTCTGATGCCAAAGCAGCAGATTGTAATTCCTCTGTTTAATATTTTGGTCCAGTTATGTTTGCCAGTAGCACAAAAGGAAACCAGCAAAACAGGTTATTTATGGGGAAAAGGTTAAAAATGGGAGAGAAACAGGTCAGAACAGAGAGATCCACAGAAGCTGAGCTGCAGGCTTAAACCTGGAGAGCTGCTAAGACTTGCCTTGTGAGCAAGCAGCACTTCAGTGGAGAACAATTAGGAATGATTTCGCAAAAACTAAAGAACACCACTTCTAAACACTTACTTGAAACATAAGCTGGCCACAAAGAGCATTTGTAATATAGCATTCAGTTTCCAAGTATTTAAAGGACAGCTATGGCATCCTACAATTTCAGACTAAACATTAAGCACAGCTTCTTATCTAGTTTTTGAAGGTGGAGAAAGATCACTCTGCAGACAGTTCTCAGCCATGGTTACATGTTGGAAGGAAGTGAACAGGTACTTTAGTGGCAGAGACCCTGTTGTGCTGTCAGGCCCTGGGGAGACCTCGGCAAACAGCAACAAGCAAGGAAAGGACAATGCTGTTTGTATTCCAGGAAAAAGCTACTTTCTGCTCCCATCAACCATTAGCGAGGCCACAAGACCATCAGCACCTTTCAGCTGTCCCAATTCTGCACAGTTACACTCTGACCTCCCAGGTCAGGAGCAGCTTCCCACAACACCTCCCCTCACACAGGGCTTGCACAGGAGCCCAGTTCTCCAACTAGGTCAGCTTTTTTGCAGTGCCTTATCTCCACACAGCCTCCTCACTGTCCCTTGTGCAGTGATTGTGATCAGCCACCTCTCCATGCTGTCTCCAGATGGAGCTGTTTGCCACTGTCCAAGTACAACTTCCTGGAATTTACGCAAAGAGCAATGGTGCCTCTGGCTCTGAGGAGCCTCAAAGCTTCCATGCTCCAACCAGAAGCTGCAGAGGTGTGAAAGCCAACAGGCACCAGTCAAATCCTGCCTCCACACCATCCAAAGTTTCCCCTCATCACCAGTGCTCCCAGCACAACCCTTATTTGCCTAAGCTCCTTTGGAGAAGGCACCAGGAGCCCAAGTGTGCTGCACCACCTTCCCCAGCACACCAGGAAGGCTTTGCTACTCAGAGCATTATTTCAAGTCTGTCTGGTTTCAATGGCCAATTAAGCAGTCAGCTCCTGCCTGACAGATTAACACACGGCATTAAAAGACATTTCCTGCATACACATGGTAATTAAATTGCCTCCAGCATATCAGCCTTTTGGATATCCCAGACAGTCTTTCATCTCATGGCATGGTCTCTTTTCCAGAATCTCCTTCCTGATGCACTCGTTTTCTTGGTTACTTTGCATCTCTTCCAGTTCTAAAAAGCAAACTTACATCCTTTATGTAGGGACACAATCAGCAGACCTTAATGTTTATCATGTCTTGCCTACTACAGCTAACACAGATGGTGATCTTCACATCCTTCTCTCCAGAGCCCCCCTATGAACCCAGGAGAGCTATTGACCCTATTTTTCAAAATGGACCCAGGAAAGGTATGATCCCAAACTGTGGGATCACTGGGTATTTGTCACCACTTATCATCCCTCCGAACACGCCAGGATGTTGTACCTCGCATGTCAAAAGGAAATGCTCATCAGGAAAAGGTTCCTGCTCACCAGTAATAGGACAAGGAGTAAACTGAGGTTCAAACTGAAGGAGGGGAAATTTAGATTAGATATTCAGATGAAATTCTTCCCTGTGAGGGTGGTGAGGCCCTGGCAAAGGTTATCCAGAGAAGCTGTGGCTGCCCCATCCCTGGAAGTGTCCAAGGCTAGGATGGATGTGGGAGGTGTCCCTGCCCATGGCAGGGGGTGGAATAACTTGAGCTTTAGTGTGGCAGTGAGCGTCACAAGGAGGGTGCCAAAAGGCATCCTGGGAAATGTAGTTCCTGGTACTCTGTTGCACATGCCCCGTAGAATACTTATATGTAGTTAAACATCGTTTGTTACTTTTTGAACCTCATATATAAGATGTTGATGTTCTAAATAAAGTTGATTCAGATGCCTGCCACCCCAGGCATCAAGGTCCATGCCCACAGTGCCATCACTTTAGTATCTCTTTCAATGCAAAAAATTCTATGATTCTAGAAGAGGCAACTGTATTCCAAAAATTTTGGAATACGATTGGTTTCAGTTATTCCAAAACACTGCATATAGTTATTTCAGGTTCCACTTATTCCAAAACACTGGATAGCATCAGGGCTACAGAAAGCCCATTAAAAACACCCTACGCACATGAAACAGTTTTCCAAAGAAAGAAAGAAAAAAAAAAAAAAAGAGATATGCTGGAAAAACCTTGTGTGGAAGGACTCAAGGCTTTCTGGATGTTTACTGTGTTTTCTTGAACAGTGAATTAGAGAGGGAACAGTCTGCCTTCCGCAGAAGCAGCTCCCATAAAAGCCACTATGATGAATCTCAGAACCACGTACACAAACAAGCCTTCCAAAACACAGTCAGCTTTCACAGGGTGTTTAACATGCAGCCACCTGCAGTGGGAGTGAGATCCCCTGCACTTAGTGGGGCTGTTTGAAAAAAATCTGGAGCCTTGAACGTGCTCCTGTGACTAACCTTTAGAGTCAGCTTTGCTTCAGAAGCCAAAACCAGGCTGGGCCAGCACTTCCCTTCTGCAAGGCATTACCCACCACCCAATTAAAATAATATGTCTATCTCTGATTGACTGATAATATTCTAACCATACTCCCACATGCTTATAAATTGTTCAGGTGCGTAAGCAAATTTCCTGTTTCAGATGTTCACATTCCTCTCCTCACTCCCAACATTTTTGGCAACCTACCCTCTTGTGTTTTGAGATCTGCAAGGCTGCATTCCTCTTGCTCGGCTTCAGCGCTCTGTTTAATGTTCTCTACTTCTAGCCAAAAACTGTCCATTGACAAGTTGTCCAAAGCCTCTACCCTGGAATTCGTGCCCTCTGACACCAGGGATGCCAAAGGACTCTTCGGAGGAAGCTGGCTCATTTTGCAAGGACAATTTCTGGTGCTGAGAGAGGAAGAGATAAGGAGAGAGAGATTAAGCTACACATATTCACACACAGCATTCACAGTACAGTCTTCACTGATTAACAGCTGCAGTAAAGTCAAACAGAGGTAAGTGCTGAACTTGCTGTGGTTAGTGTTTAGCAACACAGACAAGGTTGGGACTAAATCCCCTAGAGAAGGGGGAAAACTGCAGTCCAAACCTGTGAGAGGACAAAGTATCAACACAGTTTTTCCAATGCTGCCCCTCCAGTGACCTCCAACACACCACCTACCACCACACTCTTGCTTCCAAGACTCCCCTGCAAGCTTGCACAAATACCCTCTACATTCACAGCCAACCAGGATGTTCTCCAAGCTTGGTGTATATGTGCTCCAAGGACCTGGAGCCTGGAAGCTCCCAGCCACAGCAGCCCAAACCCAGCAGGTCTGTGCTCCATATGCAAAAACTGGCACAGCTCCGTCTCTTGCATTTCAGCTCATGCAACAAAAAACTCAGATGGCTGAGGCTCCCTTTTCCTGCTCAGACCAGATTTTTCAGCTGTGAAAGAGCACAAGTGTCCTGGGGAACCCAAGCGTATGGAATTTTCTTACCACCCTGTTGATTTATTCATGGGCAGCCAAAGTCCCAGACTGGCCTTGTTCAGCTTTCAACCTCTGTGCAGATGTTCTCATCACTTCATGAAATAGTGCCTCTCCTAAAATGAATTATAATTTTCTTTAAAGGGTTACAAGCCATTTAAACCCTGTTACACATCTTTTTCAAAGACTTAAAAAAATAGGGATAAGTGGAACATACTTAGCAGAACACCTCAATAGTTCCAATTATGAATACAAAATTAAAGAGGCGGCACACTACACTAACTGTGGGTGGTTTGAGAAACACCTGGGAACAGCCACCACCACCAAACATAGGCCAGAATTCCTTTCTAGTTTCATGAAAAAATAAAAATATAAAAAATAAAAAGGCAGATTGAGTCTTATGCCTTGAAAACCGTGACAACAAAACACACATGAAAAGCAGTTTAGATTCCTAACCCCTGGGCTCTGAAAGTTATAGATGGCAAAATATCTGGAAAGTTTTAGCCCCTTTCATTCCAGAAAGCCATTACTAGCAATTCTGGCACCAACTTGCTTCTGTTAGAAGAAGCATTTCAAGTCATAAAGGGCTAATTTTGAGACACATGTTATAGGACATTCTTAACTTGTATTTATGCATATGCATGCACATCATGCTCACACCTTATTCTAACATGCACATAGGCAGACCTTCTCTTCCAAAGGTCAGAACCAAAGCAATAACCACCACTCCAGGAACAACTGGAGCCAACCAGAGTGTTGACAACAAGAATAAAAGGGATTTGTTTGTTTGATAGGAACACAAAAGTAAAAGACTGAATTGAATCATTCTGCTATCCAGCCCTGGCAAGGGCAGAGGTGATCTGCTTGTTTAATACCCATCTGCTCTTTCCTATTCCTGGATATCCAAATAACAGGTCTCCACTTGACGATGTCGATTTATAGCCTGGTAGAACACTTAAAAAGTAAATCTTAGATTGACTATTTATTTACCTTCACAATCCATGTCCATCTCTCTCAGTTCCACTGCAGTAACCACTCCAAATAATTATTTCCCCTTTGGACTTTTTACTTATATCTTTACCCATTAGGAATTAAAAATTTGGATCACACCCCTCATTAACTCTTCATCTTTAGTACTCCTCTCCATTTTCTCACATTTTCTGACAACCTACTCATAAGATTAAACAAAGCCACCTTGCCAGCATCAAAAAAGACTGTTTAATACCTTGCCATGATATCTCACTAGGATTCTATTTTGCAACAGTCAGTAGACATCAACACTAACACAAAACTAATTGGAAGGAGGCATTTATATTGGAAGGAGGAATTTATATTATCTTGAGGGAGTTGGTTTTGGCCATATTAGTGTCAAAAACACTGGCATAGGAACTTGCACTGAAGAGCAGTCTCTCAACACAGAACACTAAGGACCATCTTACAAGCTCTCCTAATTACACTACTACATGCTTTCAGCAGGCACAAAACTACTCTTCTTGCCCTAAGTTACTGCCCTATACTCCTGTAGAATTTAGTTTATACAGATCAAAGCTGCTCTGAAATGTATCTTTCTTCTGTGTTAAGCTTGGTTTAGAGCTGGCTCATCTAACACCCCTAAAATCTCCATAGATTCACACCAAAACAGAATTTAGGTTTGCAGCTCCAGCAGAACCTTCCCTAGACCTGAGCAGCAGCTTGCACCCAGCAGATGTGCTCTGTGGCAAGCCTGTGTCACACATGGCTGTGACAATCCCTTCCCCATGCCTGCTGGAAAAAACAACACAATTTTAAGCCAACATAAATACAGTCTTCAGCTCTTTCCAAAGAGTGGCTCTTGACTTAAATCTTCTGCATGACTTACATAGATACCAGACCCTGAATGTGAGTTTCAGTCCAGGAGATGTTACTACAAGTGCAGCATTATTTATCTAAGGCATTAGGGCATATTTCTGGTGCACACCTGAGAAGGGTCACAGCATCCTTACAGCCCAGGTTTCAGGTTACAGCCTTGCCAGCAGCTATTTTTGATCTACCTTCAGTCCACACCAAGACTCTTGCACAGAGTACTGGTGTAAGGATATAGTTTTGCCACACAACAGCAAACTGCTGTCCCCATCCCACTCTGACTGTCTCCACACCACCCAGTTATTTTGCTTCCTTCTACAGCTGGAAATACAGATATTCTACTACTGCTTGCACCAAAACGCCCCCTGACCAGTCACACTATAAAACTACTCTAGAAAAGCCATCTCTGAACTACTTTTGTGTCAAGCAACTTAAAAGGCATCCTGACTTTTTTTTCTCAAAGGACAACACCAAAGTCAAGCGTTTACATTTAGAAAATGTTTTATTTTCTGGTCTAAGTATCTTTTTTTTCCTTGAACTCAATGCCCAGTGCTTTGTAAATACAGCTACCCAGGTGGAAGGTTAATTTTAGATTCAGTGCACCTGAAAGATTGTTCTTCCTCATTGCATTCCCGAGTCAACTGGAGGGCAACTTGTGGCGTACAAACATAGCAACAGTTTAGACTGAAGGCAGAGATTGTTGGCTTAAAATGTTAATCACTTGGTTGCAACTGGGCAAAGAGGAGGTAGAATAATCAAATTCACACTGTTGCACTGTCAATGTAACTAAAAGCATCAGATTATGAAGCTGTAAAAATTAATCCAACAAAAAGTAAACTGGCAGAAAGATCTAGTTAAGGACAACCATAAAGAACGGATTCTGTGGAAAGACTGACCATCCTAATGCAGCCTTCTCCTCTTGTTTAAGAGCACAGACAATTTCAGTGGGGCTTAGGATTTGCCTAACACCTACAGTCTAACTCTGACTTCAGTGTTAATGACACAGTTACGAGTAATTAGACTGGCATGGACTTTACAGAGTTCATTTTCTTATTGTTTTCCTCTCTCCACCCCCTCCATATGGATCCCTGGGAGCTCCCCATGCCTGCACAGTGCTGAGTCCAAGTGCTGGTGTCTCACTGATCCTGGGCTGGGAAACGCAGTCTCAGTAGTTCTTGATCTGTTCCTAGATACTGTCAACACACTGCAAATGTATCGCAAACACTCATTCACCCTCTTGAATATCAAAATAAAATAAACACGGTTGCTATGCATTTGTTCATTCCAGGCTTGAATCATTCCTGTCAGAGAACTGCTCAAAGGACCTGGAGCTGCCTAGACTACTTCTCTGCTTGCTCAACATCCCTCCCTCACTGAAATACCTCTCCAGCAGATGAATAAATAAGGAGGTTCCTTCTCAAGCATTTCAAGTAGAACAGGAGGCAACAAGCGTAAGCCAAGAAAATGGAATTCCTTTAATACTGATTCCAGAAAAACTAAGATGAGAAAAAGACAACAAGAACAGAAGAATTAAGTCAGACAAGGCAGTCCTGCCACACAAGGAGCATCTGGTCTTTAAAAACATTTCCAAAGATTTGGAGCAAGCACAAAGGCACACAAGAAACAAAGAAACAGACTGAGAGTCTGAAATAACCTCAACAGCAAGTTGAGAGCAGTACACCAAGTCACAGCATCATTTATAATGATTCAGACCATGAGCATGAAACACAAGTGTCTTGAAAGGAAAAAAAACCCGAGAGATTAGTCTATCAACTGGTTGCGGTATTTTGACAGATAAAGACTCTAAGTAAGAACAAAACTACATTAGTGTCACAACACATATTTTACCTGCTTTAAATTTGATTCAAGGTCAAAAACAACTGATGAGTACAAAAGCACAAGACTAAAAGAAATGACAAAGAAGTCCACACAGAAAAAAGTCCCTCTTCACATTGCTTCCAGGTTCTTCCCCTAAGCAAGCAGTTTAAACCCAAATGATGAACTGTGAAGTAAATTCTGAAGAGAATGAATCACATGAAGATGAGCCTGTCACAGTTCCCAACATGATAGACTTTGTTTAAAATCGTGTGGCAGACGAAGGTGTCCAGAAACAACGGACAGGAGACTTTGGAAAACTGGAGAAAATCCTGAAGCACTAAGTCACATATATATCTCTATTTTACATAGATATAGCTATAGATATTTTTCTTATTGGAGTTTAAACATTAGTCTCTCAAAGTTTTCAATGCTAATGTGAGAACAAGTCCCTGTATGGAAGAATTCAATCTACTCATTATCAAAATCTTACACGAAATATGCATCAGCTACTTCATTCAGACACACAGAATTACACAAAACTCTATTCCCAACACAAATAGCAAATTTATCTAGGAGATGCCTCATGGACAAAAACTCCACAACTTTTATACAAAAGGCCTAAACCAAATGGAAGCTCTACCACAAATATTTAATGCCTAGATCAGTTACCCCCAGATTTTGTACAGAAACATCACAGACTACCAATTCCTTCCTTCTCCCCGTAACAAGAAGGAGGAAAGAACTACTGCAGTTTACTCTGAAGAGAAAATGAAAAGCACATGCTGTTCAGATTCCTTGGACCAGACCACAAAAGCAAAGAGACTAATTATCAAATTACTGTGGCAGCAACAAACAGTAACGTACCCAATAGACTGTTACCATGCTTTACTTTCTCTGGCTTAACTCAACCAAAGCAGCCAAAGAACCAGAATTAAGGCAACCTTAGTAGCAGTCTGCCACTGCTGACATATGTCTCCATAACTGACCACAGATTTGCTCACGTAGTAGTTTCACTGAGAACATCCCCTATGAGAAGCCACAGTTCTTTAGCTCAGACTATTTTATCCAGCACTGCTGCTAACCACCACTTATGTTCCTATTAAGGCATTTTATCAAGGACTTTTCACATGTGGGACAGCACAGTTGAAGGTCTCTATAGCACCAGCAAGAATAGCTAAGATGTCACTACCACAATTTGTTAACAAGATTAGAGCTTGTTTTCAGTAACACAGCAATCAGCTCATCAAGACCTATTATGCAAGCAGCTCAGGGAGCAGCGTCATTTCAGGTTGTTTTGAAGAAGCCTGTTCTGCAAGTGATAAAGAGGATGCGCCAGATCGTGCCGAGAGTGTGGGGTAATCCCTACTAGTTCCAGCTTTCCCTCAGACACACGAGAAGGCACAACCTCCTGTCCTGGCATCCCCAGTGACATGAGAAAGAAGGAATAGAAGTCCTTTGCTCTGTGGATTTGTGGAGGGAAAGATGTGAATTCTGATGCTTGTATGTATCACACTGCTATCCCTGAGCACCTCCAACATTTTCTGTGCTGGACAGGAACTCCAGATGGTGGTGGAACACCAGCACAGGTTGCCCAGAGAAGCTGTGGATGCCCCATTTCTTGAAGTGTTCAAGGTCAGGTTGGATAGGGCCCTGAGCAACATGACCTGATCATGGGCATTCATGCCCATGGATCAGGTTGGAACTAGGTGGGCGTTAAGGTCCCTTCCAACCCAAACCATCCTGTGATTCTACGATTCTGTGTTACCTCTATCACAGCATTGGGACTTTTAACTAAAGCACAGGTTATAACTTACCAATAAGGGTCTCTATTAAAGTATTTAGGGGTAAAGAAACTCCATCTCAACTTCTTTGTCTCAGGCCTTCATCCGGAATAGTTAGGGGCTAAATGAGCAAGCTAAGGAATAAGGAAAGTTGCCTGTAATTACAGATCTGCCTGGAGGTATCTCAGACCGAAACTCAGAGCAGAACAAACACAGGATCGATAAGCCCATGCAGATACAGTCAAATTAAAATTATTCAAAGCCATTTTTAGTTTAGACTATCAGCTGGGTGTCTGTCCCATCACACTAGCATTTGTTTTGGCCTCAGAAGACCAAAGCTATGCTCCCTGTACATGGTTTCATGTTTGACTGTAAGGTCACTACAGATGAGCCCATTGTTCACTTTCCCCCCTTAGCAGGGTAAGCCACACAGGAAAGGGCTTTCATCCACACAGAAATCCAGCTGTGAGGAAGGGGTACCTGGCCAGAACAAAGCTTTAGTAGTACTGGGATCTTTAATGTGATTGTAAATTGATAAGGCTGATCTACAGGATGATTAGATGACAATCAATTAAAAGGTAGCATTCCCATCTCCACTGAATCCATAGTCACCTAAACACACAAGCTGCTTTATCTATCCCTTAGTCACAAGGACTTGGTCTGACAGTCAAATTCCCCTATCAATATGACACCAGGATCCCAAACCCCACAGCTCAGTAGCACTGGTTACAGATGGGAACCCCCACACACTTGTACCTCTGTACAGAAGCTGCCCTGGGCTTCCTCCAGCTGCCTTGAGGCTCAGCCTCTGCACAGGATTCTCATGAAGGAAGCAGCAAGCACGGACTCTCTGCCCTTTAGTGACTTGTCTGTCACCGCCCCGAGCACACACTGCCAGGGATTCTGCCGAGACCAGAATGAATCAATACTTCCCAGTTACTGAACACATCCTCAAAACATGCTGCCGTTACACCAAATGAGACAGCTTGACTTTATTTCCATCACTGCTGTGACTTCAGGCAAGATGCTAACCTGTACACATCTGAGACGCCTAGGTTTGGGACAAAGGGGTGAGGGACCACCTGGCTTCAAAACGAAAGGCTGCCAATGTGTTTGAATCCACTATAAAAAGGCTGTGAACTTATTTCTTGTGTGCTCATTCATTAACACAAAGACTTTTTACAAAAGCAGATTCACGCATACTAAATATTTGGCCTCCAACCTCTTTAATGTTGAACTTTGAGTAAATCAGAATGATAGAGCTCATCCTTATTTCTTCTTGTCGCCCATTCTACCAGTGCTTGGCAGTTACATTGCCATGAAAAGCCTTTGGTAAAAATTTATAACTAATTCTGTAACTAGTAACTGGAGTGCTGCCAGCAAGTGCAGGGCCAGTGACCCCACCCATGAGCCTTCTCAGGTATCACGAGCTTCTCAACACCCAGAGGAGGAGCAGGAGGCACAGCTGGCTCAGCAATGGCTTTTTCTCAGTGTTGCTTTGGAGCCAAGACACCACCACTGCTGTGTAAGCCAGTAGGTGTCTTAGTGGGAACCCAGTGAGCATGTCACAGTCACTGATCAAAAATAAACAGTGATTACAGGCAATTAATTAGAAGGCCAGGATGGCTGGTGTATCATTGCTGTATTGTACAGGCATGTCTTAGGTAAATCCTAGCAGAAAGGCTTAGTTACACATGTACACACAGGACATGTCTCACCTGTGGTGAGTTCAGAGTGAACCGGTGGGAAGTGCCACTTGGTTGGAGTTCAGTGTTTTGGTCAAAGTTAGTGAGCATGTTTGAGGTTCCTGCTGTAGGATCTGTTCAGACCTGACCACAGAGATGTTCTAGCACCAGTACAAACACTGGAACTCAACAAACTCGTTTGGCAAAAACATAAGTTGTTAACAAATATTTTAATTTTTACCAAAGAAGCCCTGCCATACTCAAGGTGTTAATCTTGTTCTCTTAAACACTGCATCAGTCTCCTAAGATTCTTCTTTTTTTTTTTTTTTTTTTGGGGTCTTTTAAAGATTTCTTGTCTTGCTTTTAACACACAATGTCAAAGCAGACTAGAAAAAATGAGAACTCAGACAGAAACATGAAAACATGAGCTGTGATTAGAAGTAAAAATCAGTACATTCACACAAAACCAACAGATTTCAATTACTACAGCAGGGAAACATTCTAAAACTTGATGCAACTTCTAAGCTCATGCAAATACACATTAAATGAATGTCCAGTAAGCACACCAGCAAGATGGTGTTTGCCAAGCAAAGCAGTTCAAATTTCAGTTCTGTCCTCTAATGCTTTGCATGATATTTATAAATAAGCAGTTCTTACCTTTACATAGTTCCACAAATCCCTGAACGGCCCCCAAACCCCAGGAGCTGCCCAGGCAGGTTACCAGTGAACCATGGAACAGGCAGTCGACAGTTTAGTCCCCCAGGTCCCACTTCCCCAGCTTGCTGCACTCAGCCCAATTACAGAATTAGTACAAGAAAAAAGAAAGGGTTTTTTTTAACAAGGTTTCATTTCAGGATCAAGGCACTCAAAACCCCATTTAAAGAGCATATAAAAGCCTCCTCACTGCTCGAAGTTCACCTTGCTTCCACACTCCGTACCTGCTCAGCACCTGGGCACAGTTGCCTGCCCGGGCAGGAGCCAGCACTACCCGGGGCCTGGGAATCCCACTTCTGGCCATCCAAGAGCCGCACGTGCCACGCTTGTCCATGTCCAAGCGGGGAGGAGGGCGGCAGTCAGTCCATCCGTGCTCCTCCGAACACCGCTGGCCACTCGAGGAACGGCTCACCCGCGAGGTGCCGGCTGGGTGGCCGCGAGCATCCTGCATCCACCCGCCTCGGCAGTCCCCGGAGAAGCGACAGTAAATCCACCCGATCCTTCAAGTGCCTGAGGCTGAGCCGCCCACGCCTGGGACAGGGGCTGAAGGAGACAGCCCACAGCCAGCACTCAGTGCCCGGAGTACGCAGAAAATAGCGAGGAGCTATTCCCAAGGCTGGGCTGAAGCTAAGGCTTGCTAAACATTAACATAAGCCTCGGCCACGTGAAAAAGTAACTCCCTATCACAGCCCTGGGAAGGAGGAGTCAAAACAGCCTATTTGCTCTTTAAAATTATACTTCCCTGCAGTGAAAGAACATCAAGAAAAGCATGAAACATCTGTCTGGGGACCTCGGGACAGCAAGAAAAATCTTCAAGTGCTTATTAAAAAAGCAAATTCAGCATTTCTTGCCATAGTTGAGCAGTGAGTAAACCCCAGCTGGATGTAAGACACTGGTGTTGAAAGAGCAAAGCTAACCCGTAACACCCACAGAGGATATTTTGTAAGATCCACATTATTCTTCAAATTCTCATCAACAAGCAAAGCACAAGTGAGTGAAGAGTTAAAGCAATCCGATTCTTTTCAGCCATCCCTGACAGGTTTGTTCTGTCCTTGTTATTCTCTCCATCAAACCTCCTTTCACAGTGTTTCTGCAACTCTCCTTTCTTATAACATTTACTATTCATAATCCCAAAGTTAAGGGGACAAAAAGTGATTTATTTAAGTTTTCCTAACGAAGGTACACAAAGCTTATCCAGCACAAGTAATAATCCCTCTCTGTGCTTCCAATATTCCCAGTAAGGCTGGATCTACAGCTCAGCCTCCTCTGCCTCCAACAGCTTAAAGGGCAGCATCAGCCAATTTAGAGACAATCCCTCATAAAAGGATGCAAAGAGCCCATTTCAGCTTTGTTCCTACTAATATGGCTATTTATCCAGTCACTGCTTTAATCCAGTCTCTTTAAACCCCCTTTGCTGCCAAGGGAATGCTGCCTCACTGCCCAATATCAGACACCAGGGCCGAGGAAGGGAAGTTGTTTGGTCTGGGACACTTACAACTCCCCACAGTATGTGAAAATACTCACAGGAATTTCTACCGACCCTCCTCTCTTTTCCTCCTTACCCACAATTCCTGTGAAACTTTATTCTTCCCCTCAAAATTGAAAACTCGGGTTATCCATACAGCTCCCCCTCCATCAACTCCAAACCAAGATAAACTACAGAATGTCCCAGCTTGTGAAGTTCACAGTTATAACCAAAACACATCCACAGGCCACAGGTTTTACAACAGCACAGAATTATACACAGGTAGCATATTATCATAAAATGATTTGGAAGGGACCTTGAAGATCATCTCGTTCCACCCCCTGCCATGGCAGGGACACCTTCCACTAGCCCAGGTTGCTCCAAGCCCCATTCAATCTGGCCTTGAACACTTCCAGGGATGAGGCAGCCACAGCTTCTCTGGGCAACCTGTGCCAGGGCCTCCCCACCCTCACAGCCAAGAATTTCTTCCTAGTATCCAATCAAAAAAGTTTATTCAGCAATGAAGATCTTAGAAACGGGCAGAAAGCGCATCTAAAGAATTCTGATGCTTTTATACAGATACACAGAACAGTTGCTGCAAAGCTCCATCAGACGGAAGCACTACCATCACGTGTGACCACGCACACTGCCCAGCATGTGAGACATGGGAGGGCAGAGCAAAGAGGGACAACAAAAGCATCTGTGAGAGGAGATGTGGCTGCTCAAAGCTCTGCTGTTTTTACAAACTTTGGAAAGCATAATTTCTCCCCAGGGACCACCCAGCCTTTCCAAACAGCTCCCCAGCAAATGCACCTTGCCCTGAAACAAGAGGTTAGGTCTCAGACCATTCCTTCTCCTATATACAAAAATCACATCTAAGCTTCCAGCACTGCAAGTCAATGTACACCACAGCCCTCAACTACAATTTTTTTTGTCCCTCGGTGATGTTCCTTGTCATTACATTTCTTTTAATAACTTCAGCAGCCAGCTGCTCATCCTTTTTGATGGGTAAATTTGAAGACAGAGGCTCCCAGACACTCATACCAGCTAGCTTCATCCTCACAAGTTTCTCATCATGGCTAGGCTTCACGAACGAAGATTTGGGTAACAAGTTTCTAATGCAGTAGTAATAACTCAGCCAGGCTTCTTGCACAACTGAGGCAAATTTAAAGTATCCAAAATGAAGACAGAACTCTTTAAGAGTACATTCAGCTTTGATTACTCACGTAAAGCAGTACACAAGCATTACTGAAACTTTCAGATCTCTGTGGATAATAACAGCTGTGCTGCCATCTACAACCTCTAACGTCTTCACTCCTGTCTGGCCTTCGGTTATTCATGGTATTTGGGAGGAGCAATCAGTAAGTTTATCTCCTAGATTGTGCTTGTGAGAAAAGAGGTGGAAGAATAGAACATGAGGCCAGCTCAGTCTGCTTTTTCAGACAGAGTGAATCAGTTTAAATATTCCAGCTCTGGCTCCAGCATGTTTCATGCTCCAAGACAGTCTTCCTGGCATCATCAGAGATGAGACAAGCTCACTGGGATGAGACTATCTGGATCACAGGAGCTGAATCTTACTCAAATATGGAGACAAAGACATACTGATGCTCTCAGCAGCCAAGAGTTCAAATGAATCACAGGTACAGACCCAGCACTGTTACCGTCACCACTTCAGTGCACGAGTTGTTTCTGAAGGTATCTACACTTCCTGCCAAACTGACATGACTTGGCCTGACTTCTTCAGAAACAAAAGGAGGTGAAAAAAACATCCAACATGCTTTTGGACAATCAGGAATTTCAGCAGGCTGGAGACCTGCAGACTAGAGGAACCCTCATCCAGCCTACAGGGAAACCCCAGCCTGAACCCCAGCCAGGGAATCCCCTGCCTCTTCATGGTGCTTGACAGAGAGCCCAGCATCAGTGCCTTCAGGTCAGCTTGAACACAATGCCTATTGCATCACAATGTTTTATAACAACATTACATTTTTTCAAGCATCCCCAAAGTAATTTTTTACACTGAAAAATTAATGCAAGTGACACACTGCAGTGTGGAGTGGAAAAACCAAAATCTGTAACACGTAACTCTTTTTTCCTCCAGCCAGTTTACTTTTAGGGTGTTTGAGATTAGGAAAGGCTGAAAGTAATTTATTCCCCCTCAATCCCACCACATAACAAGAAAATCCTCACATAGTGTTACCTATCCATCACATGGACCCATCAAGATTAAGAGATTATTACAGTTTCTGGAGCCACTGAGGCGCTGAGATTATCCAAGTCCCAGCTTGTTCCCAGTCTGGCAGGGAGCAGAGCCCAGGCTGTGGCCTGGGGCACAGTGCTAAGCTGCCATCAGGTCTGGGTAAGGCAGCAGCTCCCAGCAGTCAGCCCTACAACAGGTTTGGCTCTACTATGCCCTAAGGTGGGAGAGCAAACCAGCACCTCTAAGCAAAACAGCTGTCAAGAAACAGACACAGCAACACTCAGACCCTAAAAAGTGCTTCCACTCATGACACTACTGCACAAGACAAGACCTAATTTGTCATCCTACTGGAAGAGATACAGACATGCCCATGGGAGCTGGAGTATCAATCCAGTGCAAGCAGAGGAATAAAGTATCACCTGCCCAATGGCCCAGCATCACCCCCTCGACCCTTCTTGCTCTATCCACATTTGGGTGGCTCAGCCCCAACAATGAACAGTCAGACCTTGCTTACTGCCAAACCCATCCTGTCTGCAGACACAGCTGTATGTCAGAGCACACGCTCTGCTTCACTGCATCCAAAAGTTGTAACAGAGGATCAGGACTTCAGGCAGCAGACAAACAGCAACAAGTATTTCCTAAAATGAGATTAATAGCCATCTCCATATAAGCAATCTCTCAGTTAAGAATATGGAAAACAACATTGGACAAAGGGCATATCCGGGGGGACACAATGCCGTAGCACAGTGGGATTGGTCAGTTGGCAAAAGATAGAGCCACTTCAGCACGTCACCATCAGAAGCAGCAGTTGTAAGCAGAGATCTCCACCAGACAGCATGGTGGAGATCTCCACATGGGCCAGCGGTTGGGTACACAACTGCCCCCAGTCGCCTACCCTCTTTGACAATGTCATGTCTTGGGGGAATGAAGGAGGAGGGGAAAAAAAAGGTCATACACTCTTTAGACACAGATGTATATTCAGATAGGTGAACTGCAAAGATGCTTAAACCTAATTACTACTATAAATGTAATTTAAATCACCCAAACCATTTCCACTGCTCAAGGAAGAGCTGTAACAATGGGAGGAAGCATTAAGACACAGCAGCTATTCTTAACACTCAAAACCACTTATTCTGATGAATAATCAAGATTTACTTGTTAATTTAAATTTAATGTGCTTCAGCCTCCTGGGCATTTAAGACTGTATAAAATTAGAAGTCTTAGCAGGTTTCAGAGGATGATCTCATTTACCTCCCTGTTCAAACATGTGTTTGACATCACAGGGTGCTGTGCCTTGCAAGAGTTGTATCTTTCCTGCTGAATGCCAAAGGCAGAAAGAAGTGACAGGCACCAGATTAATGACCAGCAAGCTGCTTGTTCACTTCCTTCAAACACAGGGAACTATTATCCCTGCAGGTAGCCAACAGTGCCACACATCACTGCTACAGTGATGGAAGAGAGGCAGGTGGGGAGGAAGGACCAGTGAGTTCCCTCTCAGCTGCAATGAGTAACCAGCACCTCGTGCCAGTAGAGCACACACTGGACTGGAGTACACGCTGCAGAGCTCGCCCCAACGCCACCTCCATGGAGCACTTTGCACCTCCCTAATTCTCATGGAAAAAGATTTTGCAAAAACTCCAATTCCCACACTCACATCCCAGCTCATTTCACAAGACTCATTTTGATTTTTGCAAGTTGGATTTTCTGTTTCTTTCTGGGAAATGGATGGGGCAACAAAGCTATGAATAGGAAGAGCGTCAGAAATGGACTATATTACTCTGGTGCCCCAGTTCCCAGCCCAAAGATGTGATGGATTAAGTTGTCATCTTGTTTATTTCCTGCACCATAATCACAGCAGCAGGATAGGCTCCATGGGCTGAACTCAC